GTAGGCATTGCGACCGTACTCGTCGTCCGAGTCGACCTCGTCTTCGGGGTAGTCGGCCGTGTAGTGGTTCTCGGCTGTAATTTCAAGGTACATGAGCGCTCTGCCGCATTGGGGGTGGCAAGGGGTAAAGGAGAGTTTAGGTTGCTCAAATCAACGTACCGTTTTCGTCCTCTTCGTCATCCGGCAGCTCATCCGAGTCGGACTCGTCGAAGCCGTAAAAGAGCTCCATGTCCTCCTCCGTGTCGAACTTGAGCACGCCGATCTGCTCGGGCGGAATCTGGCCGAGCGCCAGCAGCGGGGTGGCCGTCTTGTGCGTGTCGGGGGCGAGTTCGTAGACGACAATCTCGTAGTCGTCGTCGGACATGTCGACGTCCTGGGCCTCGGGGGCGTCCCTGGCGTCGAGCTCGCGCGCCAGCTCGGGGTGGCGTTCGGCGAAGCGCTTGGCGGGGGCCTTGGGCTTGAACCTGGACGGGGACGCGGGGGTCTTCTTCTTGATCTCGGCAAGATTCAGGCCTATCTCGTGGAGGACCCACTGGTCCATGTCGGCTGCGATCTTGTCGGTCTCGTCTGTGCGGTTGACCGGTGGAAGGGGCTTGTGATCGGGTTCGGGGCCGGGGCCTTTGGCGGCGGCGTCCGGGGTGGGCGTCGTGGAGTTGGGTGTGGTGTCTGCAGGGGAAGGAGCAGGTCGATTCAGACGTCGCGCGCTGGGTTTCTTGATCTTCCTCTCCATCGTTGTCTCCGTGTGTGCCTCTGGTGCCCCATGCTGCTGCTGTACCAATGGTCTCAGAGGGAGCGTCTTGTTCAGCGCACCATGGGCGCCGCGCTCGACAAACACTGCGGTGCCGTATCGAGACTTGCGATTCTTTCGTGATGCCGGAGCCTCTGCTTCGTGAGGACGGGGCCTGCATGGAAGCCCGCGACATGTGGAAGAAGCGTTGTGCGCCAAACGCAGGCAGTCCGGTTGTCTTCAGGGCGGCGTCCGTCTTTGACGCATGGTCTTTAGTGGAGCTCAGCTGAGCGGCTGGTGCTTGTGGTTTCGTAGCCGTTTTCCCCTCGTCGTAAGGTTGATCTTGGACCTTGGAAGACTGTATTATGGGCGCGGTTTCGGGAGGTAAATTTTGGAAGTCGTTCGAGAGAGGATGGACGGAAGGGGGCAGGGCCTTTGGTTGATCTTTGGCCTCGCCATTGCGCCGTTTGTAGACAAAGTTTTTCAGGTGGCGCTTCGTTCCCGACTCGAGATCTATGATGTATGAGCACTCTCGTACCAGCACGGAATCTTGCGATCAGGGGCTGAGAACCCACGTAGATAGTTGACAGGGGCCTCCTCAGCGCCGCGCTTGCGCTTGATGTGGATGGTCTGCGGAGGGGCTGACATGACCCTGACAAGAGGGACAGCCTATTCGATCCGGTGTAGGGGTGCTAAGAAGAGATGCGAGGACACATGAGAATATGGTGCCTTTTGCGCAGTTGAGTTGTTCCTGGGTGATGTCACTTGGAAGAGCGAGTTTGTCGGTCAAGGAGCGACGGCCGTGGACCACTTTTTGGCGGGCCATACTGATGAAGGGAGCGATAAGCAATTCTTGACGCTTATCATTCGGTGACGCCATTGGTGGCCATTCAGACGCATATGTCTGGGTAGGTACCTAGGTCCCTACCTAGGTAAGTACTTTACAAAGCAAGGTGGCAACTCACTCTTGCGAAGGTGCCTTCGTTGCCTCGGGGCTTCACAATCGACCTGCATGGCGAGACTCCATGAAGGAGGTTTGCAATAGGCTTGCAGATTTCCGAGCTGACTGGGCCGAGTGAGGTGCAAGATGGTTTGTTGCCTGGTCCAAGCGGCCAGCATAGCGGCTATTGGGCGCCGCAATGGCCTGGCTTGCCTGACTTGCCTGGCAAGCCTGGCAAGGATACCCACCTGGGGAGGTATCTTAGAGGTGCGCTTTCAGTGGAGCGAGGCTTGCATTAAGGGAGGTCCACCTCCAGACGGCGATCGTGAGATGTCCGGGGATGCTCTACCTAATAATAATGACAGCATCGTGAGCAAAGACTTGATCCACCTACCTATATTTCACAATGTCATCCAAAAACCCCGCCTCGGCCCTGCTGTACCACCATGCGTACCCCAACTTGAGGCTTTCAGATGCTGCCGACATGGCCTGCGGGCATTAGCATTCGCTAATCATGGCCGCCTGTGTTCTGGCCACACGCTGGTGGCAGGCCCGTCACACCGGCCCAACTGCTACGGCAGCAGCTGATGCGGGGATCGGCCCAGGCATGTCCCTCGACAAGTCCCCGATACTTTGGTAACGAAGCGCCAGGCAGTCAATAGGCAGGTTCCCGAGACATGCAGATAGGCCTCCCGCCCGCCTGCCCAAAAGCTCCGGGCTTCGTACCTACCTACTAGGTAGCTGCCAGCCAGGCCAGGCTACACAGAATGGCAGCAGTGACACATGTACCTTTCTCCACGTTGTATGCCTTCGAGGTACTCCGCTGCGCTGAGCCTGAACCTGAGCGTCTGGCGCGCGGATGACATGGCGTGGTATGACGCGCCATGCCCATTCCTTGGAAGATGTCTGGTCTGGGTCTGGGGCCTGGGGCCTGGGGCCTGAAGCACGCCTGCTCGGCTTAAACCGCTGGCGAGGCTTTCTTTTGCCTTGACATTGCCCCCAACATGAGCATACTGAGAAATTATGCACTCTTCCATCTCCAGTATCTCCTCATACGATCCCTTTGAGCTGTGAGCTTCAGGCCCTCCTGCAAGAGACTCCAACCAGTAAGTGCTCTTACGTATCGCGCGTGGCAAGAGCTGCACTGCTTGGCCTACCCCTCCTCTCGTTTCGTTCCGGTCCTCCCTTCCCACTGCTGTTCCTGTTACCACACGCCATCTGATTCACGAAGCCTCATCACGGCAAACAGCCTGTCAACCTCTTTGATCACACACGACCCTAGAAGCTACCCTTCCATCCTCTTTTGATCTATCATATTCATTCCCTTGCGACTGCATCCATTTTCTACTTTCCTTTCCATTGTAAAAACAAACTGGTGCCATCCAGCCGCGGGCACACTTCCTTGTGTAACAATTCCCAAAACCACCCAAACATCGTCATTAACAATCGTCTCTAGCAAGGCAACATCTGTCGACGAGACAGAAACGGCGCATCATAGAGTCACCGTCATCATTTACCACTGTGGTAACACCCAGCGCAAGGCTCATTGCCCAACATTGACTGCTTCGAGAAGCTTCAAGGCGGGCGATATACGACGGACCTAGTCCCCCGTGCTATACGCCGACAGCCCAGGCACCCGCAAACAATCACTGCCACGGGCATGACAACGTCATAAGTCAAGAGAAGCATTTGCAATCATGGCCGCCTCCAAGGTTCCCATCACACTCACATATCGGAAGCCTGGTACACAACCGCCTCTATTCGTCGCTGGGACCTTCTCCAATCCACAATGGGAGGCGCAAGAGATGCAGGTCACCACAGGGGACGACGGAGAGCATACGTTCTCCAAACCCCTGCACCTTCCCCCCGGATCCAAGATTCAGTACAAAATCCGCATCGGTCCCGGAGATTGGTGGGTTCTCAACGATGACGCGCCGACGGGTACGTATATCCACAGCATTGATACCCTGCTTGCCCAACGCCCACGACTTGAAGCCTAACGCACGCATACAGTGACCGACGAGGCCGGAAACCGCAACAACGTATTGATTGCCCCAGAACGCGACGAGGCCCATGCGGACGACGAGGCGCGGAACAACGACTCAATCGACGAACGTTCCAATACTTCACACGCGGGCGTAAACATGAACGGCTCGACACACAGCGAGGTCCTTCCTGCGCCGAAACCTCGCGGCGTTGACAAGCTACGGGAGCGCAGCGAGGAGGAGCTCCAGCACCTCACAGCGACACCCCCCGAGGAGGTCGCGGAAACTGCCGCCGAAGTCGCTGACACGGCCGAAAATCTGGATGCTGATAAGGTACGAGTTTGTCCCAAGTCGTGCGATTAGACAGGACAGGCATCTGACAATGACCACAAGGACGGCAAGGACACGAATGACAGGGAGAACTCTACTGTCTGTCTCATTGACAGTTTCCCGGATGAAGAGGAGGACCTCGATGCTCAGAGCGAGCTTCCCCCCCTCTTTGCCCATGAATGCCTTGGCGGTTCCGACCCTGTGCCTGAAGTCGTCTCACCCCCTGTCCGACGCAGCAGCGAGGCGCGCAGCGGCAGTGTCGATTACAATATCGACAAGTACGATCTCAACGATCCCACACTCGAAAGGTGGCCGTCGGACCGCAACGCCATCATGGACGCTGTGCGGCGCGTTGAGTCATCGCGCGATGAAGACCAGACCTATGTCCTGGGCTCACCCATCTCACCCATCATCACCTCGCGCCGCGCGAGCAAGATTGAGGAAGACATTGCTCTTTCACCCGAGTTCCCAAGTCTCGTCACCGCGGCCAAGCTTGACGTACCGACTAGAAAGCAGTCGCATGGCTCTATGGTGTCCAATCGATCTCTGACATCTCTTGCTTCCATTGTGGAAGAGGATAACAGACGCATCGAGGAAGAGGGGGATGACGAGGAGGCCGTGGAGGATCTTCGACCTTCGCCTGTGGTTCGCTTGCCCAGCCCTGCCGTCAAGGTGACCCCTGATCTCCTGCGCTCTCCTGCTAGCGATGACGACGAGGGTGTGGTCCTGAAGAGTTCTCGCTCCGATCTCGACCTCAAGAGCGACACGAACACACCAGCTGCAGCGTTGGAGCTTCCAGAACATGCGACTAGCGAGAGCCAACCCAGTCCACCCGTCCAACAGGACCAACCCAGCGCCCGCGCGCCCCCACCAGACGAGATGGACGAGCTGGACGACGACGGAGCCGATGGCAGCATTGGACAGCGTGCCGCCCCGCAAGGAGAGGATTCGGCGGATGGCCAGCTGCGCAGGCGGAATCTCAGCAACGACGGTTCTGTTGCGTCCAGCTCCGCTCAGGGCGCCAAGGATGCCGACAGCAGCAACTGGCTCCAAGCCTTCTTCCGTGTGCTCTTTGTCGACTGGATCGGGGGCTTTGTCCGCCAACTCTTCCACGGAAACCGCAAGTAGTATTATGGCCTGATGGCTGCCGGTGCGGCGGTCATGGCATGGGGCGTTAGGGCGACGCTGGCACCGGCCGCGCGCTCGAAGGGACAGTAGGGTAGGCCGGCATGGTTTCTGGCCTTTTGTTTCCTCTCTCCGTCATTTTTTCTTCTTCCTTTTCTCTGGTCCTGTATTGCGCTGTACGATTATCTTGTGTGTGTAGTAATTGGGGAAGGATCGTGGTCGAATGGACAATATCCACGAAGCGGGCACGGAAGCCTGCCAGGGCTGGCAGCAGCTTGGCAGGGAAGCAGGCAGGCACACGATGCGTAACGAAACCTCACGACTTTTCTGCACTGTTTCCGGCCGTCATGCCGTTGTTGCTACTGAATATGCTACTCCAACAGAATTGCTGCGCGTGGTATCATGTGTTTGTTGATCATGTCGTTCCTGTCCTCTCGTGATGGCGCTCGCTGGAATTCAATGAGTCACTCACGCCTTTCCTCTTCTCTTGGTCAAGACGGCGCGCCAGCCAGCCGGCCAGCGACCGCTCCTCAAATGACCCTCCACACCGCACCAGGCCGCGGCCCCTCGCGCCGCGCATCGCCGTCCTCGCGGTTCACCCGGCGGATCCACGCCGCCTCGTCCTCGACAGCCGCGCGCTCGACGTCCTGCATGACGGCCATCTCGTCGAACATGCCCGGTGCCCGGTGGCTGTACCCCCGCGTTATGTCTCATTGTAACTGAGCCTTGTTCCGTCGATTTGGTGATTATAGTCAAGTTTTAAAACCGGCAAAACCATTACGTTACGCGACATTCGGACTCAACTTAAAAATGAAATGTTGGGGTTGGGCAT